TCCATGCAAAGTGCAATAACATCTCCAGGAGAAATCCCTCGAGCTCTCAAGCTGTCCTAAGGAAACTCAGATGCAAATAGTCCTACTGGCCAGCTAACTACCAAGTATGATTTACGCATCGTCATGCCACATACCAACATAGGGAAACACCATCTTATGCCACACCAAATGCATACACATACGTATAACAAAGCATTACACTATTTTATTGCATTTATATACACTATAATCACCACTACCCTTTCAGGGCTTGGTGGAACAATCAAGGGAATTACACCCAAGGTCCAAAGGCTTACCTCAATGCTTCAGTCGACCTTTGTTCTTCACCAACAGTTTCAGCAATCAACTTTTACAAACATACACCTATACAAGGGTAATGCAATTAACATATTGCATTCAAGGATAACTCATCATCATCAATCCAAGCTATCCTATTCATACCACAACACAAGGATGAACTTACCTATTTCAAGGACTAATCCATCTCCATTGCTTGCTCCAAAGGCTGGTCAATTAAGGTTGATCCAATTGCCTCAATCCTAGACAACACAAGGATACAATCAATGACCAACCAAACAATAGTTCAACAATGCAAGAAAACTCATAACCAAGTGTCATATTCTTGCAATTTTCCAAACCTACTCATTTGACTACTAAGCTCATTTCTAGCATTTTTCATAACATCTACTAAGTCTCAAACTTCCTAGAGCATAGCCAATTTAATCACATTTCTATGAAAACCCTAATACACTATTCACAAACCCTAACTCATGCAAAAATCTAGGGATTTAGTGTGCAAAGTAGTGGAAACTTACCACCAATGACCACACAACGATGCAATGAGCGCTCCCCAAGCTTCAATGGAGAGAATCACCCCAAAACCCCAACTCTCACCAAAAGGGGCGAATTTTGGAGGGTTGATATCTCTCTCCCCAATAACTCCCACTCAAAACAAAGTTAGGATTATAAAAGAGGGGAAGAATCTAAGTGGTTTAGGCTTTTGAACGGATGGATTTGGTTGAGATTTGCTTTCTCTCTTTCTCTCTCCCTTTCCTCTTCCTTCTTTCTCCTTCTTCTTCTTTCTCCTTCTTTTCTTTCTGCTGGTGTCGTGAAAATGGGGAGGGGAATTGGTTGTTTTTTACTTTATGCCACTTAACTTTGTTAAGTGGTTAAAAAGCGGGTATCGGTTCATCTATCTATTCAACTCCATTAATTACCAAACTTTACCCAAAAGTCTGGAATATTATTCTAGGAATATTACTATTTTTATTTTTATATTTTGGGCACTTTCGCTAGTACCCATTTATACCCCTTAATTTTCACTGAGTACACTTTTTAACTCCAAAGTGACTCAGATTCATTTAATTAAATCTTATACTTAATTTTACTCACTAATACATGCTTAATTATTTAATTACATGCAATTTGCTAATTAATTAGGTTAGGGCTATTATATTACACAGTGGTAATGGACAAGAATTTCTCATGCGTGATTTCTATCTTCAAAAGGGCATTTTACATCAAACCAGGTGTGTAGAGTGTCCTCAACAAAATGGGATTATTAAACGTAAGCATCAACACATCCTAAACACAGCACGTGCGTTTTATTTTCAAGCCAACCTACCAAGCAATTTATGGAGTTATGCTGTTACTCATGCTATCCACTTGATCAACAAAATTCCTTCTCCCACCCTTGCTCAGAAATCACCCTTTGAACTACTACATGGAACTCCTCCCACTTTAACTCACCTCAAAGTTTTTGGATGCCTCTGTTATGCATCCACACTTCAATCTGGTCGAACCAAATTCTCCCCAAGAGCCAGAAAAGCTGTGTTCATTGGCTATAAAGAAGGAACAAAAGGTTACCTTTTATATGACCTTAACTCTCACAGTTTATTTTTATCCAGAAATGTTACCTTTTATGAAAACCAATTCCCTTTCCACAAAACACCAAACACAAATACCATTCCCACTTCTCCACAAATCCCACCCACATATGATATTGATTCTTCACCACCCACTAACCCAAATCCCGAATCTATATCCTTAAATCCACAACATGACATCAACTCTCCACCCATTAACCTTCCCATACCACCATATACCAATACTAGCAATCATAATTCTCCTGCTCTTCGAAGATCCACACGTGAAAGAGGACCACCACGTTATCTTGTTGACTATCACTATGGCCTTTCTACAGCTCACCATACTCAATCACATGCAGGTATTTCCTCATTCTCCACCCCTTATCCATTATCTACTGTATTATCATATAATTCTTGTGCACCCCACTACAAATCTTTTTGCCTTAATGTTTCTATTCATCAAGAGCCACGTACTAATAACCAAGCTATCAAATCTGAGAACTGGAAAAAGGCAATGGATGCAAAATTACTTGTTCTCAATCAAAATGATACATGGTTCATAGTTGATCTTCCATACGGTAAATAACCCATCGAATGCAAATGGGTGTACCGCATCAAGTATAAATCGGATGGCACAATTGAACGACATAAGGCGCGTTTGGTGGCCAAAGGCTTCACTCAATTAGAAGGCGTTGACTACTTGGATACATTTTCACCAGTAGCCAAATTAACTTCTGTACGCACTCTGTCAGCAGTTGCAGCAGCCAAGGGATGGTTTCTTGAACAATTGGACGTGAATAATGCCTTATTACACGGAGATCTTCATGAAGAGGTATATATGCAATTGCCTCCTGGTCTCTTATCTCCACGGCCCAATCAAGTCTGCAAACTCCTCAAATCCATTATGGCTTGAAACAAGCCAGCCGACAGTGGTATTCCAAACTTACCTCTGCATTATGCTCGCTTGGTTATATTCAAGCTCAATCAGATCACTCAATGTTCACTCTATCTGCTGGTTCTTCATTCACAGTGCTTCTCATCTATGTGGACGACATTGTGCTTTCTAGTAATGACATGACTGAGATTAAACGTGTTAAATGTTTTCTGGACAGCAAGTTCAAAATTAAAGATCTTGGACAACTTCGATTCTTTCTCGGTCTTGAAGTTGCACGCTCCAACAATGGCATTCTTCTCAATCAACGCAAATATGCGTTAGACATTCTATCTGATGAAGGCATGCTGGCAGCAAAACCAGCAACCACACCCATGGAATCTTCTGCAAAACTCACTCATGACAGTGGTGTTCCTCTATCTGATCCCTCGCTTTATAGAAGGCTTATTGGTCGCTTACTTTACCTCACTACCACTCGTCCTAACATTTGCTTTGCCGTACAACAGCTCAGCTAGTTTGTCTCTCGACCATGTGATATTCACTTAGCAGCAACAAAACGAGTTCTTAGATATTTGAAAGGGGTTCCATCTACTGGTTTATTTTTCTCCTCTCAATCTGATCTCACACTATCCGCATTTGCAGACTCAGACTGGGCATGCTATCCTGATACCCAAAAGTCCATCACTGGTTATTGCGTTCTCATTGGAGCATCTCTTATTTCATGGCGCTCGAAGAAACAATCAACCATTTCCCGTTCTTCTTTTGAGGCGGAATACAGAGCTCTTGCGAGCTTAACCTGCGAGCTTCAATGGTTACAATATCTCTTCAACGATCTTCACATCCCTTGGCAACGTCCAGCATCAGTGTTTTGTTACAGTCGGTCTGCCATCTACTTGGCTAAGAATCCCACATTCCATGAACGTTCCAAGCATATTGACATTGATTGTCACGTAACACGTGAGAAGCTTCAATCTGGTTTACTACATTTGCTCCCTATTTCCAGTTCACTGCTACTTGCTGATGTTTTTACTAAACCATTAGCTCCATCATTGTTTTCTGGATTTATTTCCAAGCTAGGTCTGCTCAACATCCATACTCCAGCTTGCGGGGGGTATTACACATGAACACAAGCCTCACATAACAAAGCCATGCAGCAGTGAAGTTCTATTTTCAACTCATTCTCCACATGACCCAACTAATCATCAAAGAGAAGAAACTGATGCAGATAATCTGTTGACTTAATAGATAGAATTAGTTAGAATCTGTTATGAAATATTAAGCTTCTTTGTTAGTTTCTTTTATCAGCATTCAGTTATTCTGATCTTGTATATATAGACTTAAGTCTTGTTTTATTCCTCATAATTGAGAATTCAATGAAAGTTGTCAAGTTCAATACACAGTGAAAGGGTTGATGGTATTTTAATCTAGTTGAAGCATCAATTAAAGGGGCAATTAAGAACTTGTTTTGCTTACTTTGTCAAGCTGGGTAAAGTAATTGTTAGAAATGGTAATGGCAGTTGAGGCATGAATACTATCAATCAGGCCATCGGCACAACCATCCAAAAAGCAATGATCAATCCAAATATTTGAGGAAGAAAATATAATGATGCCATCCTCATCAGAGCATTGACGATGGCCAACATGAGCTGGGGTACTACTCCTTGCAAGTTACAAGGGCAACCTTGCTTGGCTTACAATCATAGATGCGAATGCCATATGCAAAAACACGGCTAACACCTTGTGTTGTAATGCAAGGCTCATTTGCAATTATTTTATCTATTATTATAAATAAAATAATCTTTATTATAAAAATCTAAATTTTATGATTCTAATAATATTTTCTGTTTTTACTTATTGTTTAGAATTTATGAGCCAACTCGGCAAAATGTATTTGGACTTTAATTTATGTGTCCTCATTGAACTCTACTTATTTTGATACACTCTGCTGAGCGTGCAACCATATTTCACATTTCTTTTAACAACAATTTCAGTTAATTTCTTGAAGCTATGCATCTGCAAGTGTCATGTCATATATATATATATAGACATTGTCAACTTTCTGCCGAGGTGATAGATAAATGACTGTGAAAATGGATAGGCATAGAATATTTTTTTCCCCACATGACTTTTGGTACATGCATATACCTTCCTCCGATCGAGATATGCCAATTTGGGGCCTCAAGACACAAAATCATAAAAAGATACAAACAAAAAAGATAGAAATGTTGGGCCTAACAAAATTAACATGCTTTGTTAACGACACAATCCAGTGGCCCTGCATTGAGAGTTAATAAAGGCACCATGGATGCTTGGGCCGCTATAAAAGCTTGAGGAGGTGAATATAATGGGGTACAACTTCCGTAACCAGATGGCACAAAATAAGCACCATTTAAGAATTCATCCCGAAAACTCCTCCATTTCCAATTATTCCAGTTTCCACTAGTTTCCCTCTTGGTAACCTGTTATCAGTGAATGAACCTTGCATAATTAATATATATATATATATATATATTCTGAAATCTATTACTTAATTTTTTATTTTTTATTTGTAAACAATCTATTACTTAATTTTAATTGCTTTGTTACCTGTTTTGCAACATAATCATTTGAAGCTACAAAGTAGTTCCCTTCACTAAGAATGGTAGGGTCGGCACTGCCACCAATGGCATACATGAGCCACTCGTCATACCTGTTGTTGACCACGTGGGCATAACCAAATCTTACCCTGCATCTCATCAACCAAATAAGTAAATATGAAAATTATGCTATTGAATCTTCAAAAGAAAAATAAAATAAAAAATCACTGTCTAACAAACCGTTCATACCTTGGCATTCTTTGTATTAGGCCACGGGCAAAGCGGTTGAAAGCTACTGTTACTTTCATTATTCTATCTGTGCTGTAATCATCGTTGTGTCCTAGCAGCATCACCTGCATGGAGTACATTTAGCTTTGTTAGGACACTATCCTAAAAAGAATGATTCTTAACATGTTGGGTTTTGGGATAGTAAGCAAATTGTTTCAGACCAGAATAGTGATTAGTCAAGAGACATATACACAAAATCAATTTTTGCCTTAACTAGACGGAGAAGACAATTTTGGAATATATATATATATATATATGAGAAAAGTGTTTGTCATTTTAAATGATATAAAGTTATGTCATTTTAAGAGAGAGATAGACACAGAATAAATTTTTTTATTTAAATTTTAAATTAAAATAAATCACCCACTTTCTCTCTCCCTTGATTTCTATTTTCTGTGTCTATCTCTCTCTTAAAATGATGACATAACTTATGTCATTTAAAATGACAAACGCCAAGTTCTATATATATATATATATATATATATATATATATATATATATATATATATATATATTATGGAAATGAAGTAAATTAGTTGCGTAGACTATATAGAATAGATAATATATTATAGGGTTAATGTTTCTTTTGTTACAAGAAATTAATTATATTATGTAGCATTAAAATGATGTTGTTTTGGAGTTAAGGAAATATAATGTTATAATTTTGGTTTGTTTTAGGATTATATTAGTTTTAAGGGCTTTAAACATCTCATGTTGAAAGAAAGAGAGAGATCTCATGCTACAAACTCAAAGTTATGGTAGGTCTCACTTGAAAAAATATGGGTTATGTTTATCTCATTTTACATGAGATAAACATCTCTCCTACACACACAAAAAGGGTTGGGTCCTACCACTTTTTTTTTCTCTCTCCTTTTACATGTGGGTCCCACTTATACTTTTATTTCTACAACATGAGGTAATTCTTTTCCTACAACATAAGAAAAATATATCCCAAAAAATATATATATAACACGCATCTGGAAAAGTCAGCTGCGGAAAGTTTTCTTCTCACATGAGAAAGATGATTTCCCTAGTTTTAATGGATACAATTTTTTTTTCCCAAACTCAAACCAAGGTCATTTTAAGGTAATATTATAGTGTTTTATAAGAGTTATGTTGTAGGAAAAGTGATTGTGTAATGTTATAGAGATTCGTTTTGCGTGTGGTAGTTTTTTTTTTTTTTTTTGCTTCAAAAAGTGTGGACCCCACAAAATGTTGTGTGTGTACTGTGTAGGAAATTGTGTAATGTTGTGTGTGTCATGTTAAATGATAAATGCAACCCCAAATATTATATGTTGGGAAACATTAAACCATATATTATTATGCAGAGATAAAGGGGGGAAAAGTCATCATTTTTTACGCTTACTTTGTCATGCTGAGTGAAGTAATTGTTAGAGATGGTGACAGAAGTTGAGGCATGAGTAACATCAACGAGACCATCGGTGCAACGAGCCAAAAAGCAATGGTCAATCCAGATATTGGAGGAAGCAAATACAGAAATGGCATCTCCATCAGAGCCTTCACGATACCCAACATGGTCAGTGGTGCTCCTCACCATGGCAGCCTTACCTAATTTACAATCATGAATGCTAATTCCATGCACAATGACATGGCTAACACCTTGTATTGTAATGCAAGGTCCATTTGCAATCTCCACTTTGGCTCCTCTACCATCAATAGTCTTGTAGTTATTCACAATAAGCTCATTCTCTAGCATGATAACCATGTCCTTGGCGAAAGTTATCCAAAGTGGCTGTGTTTGGATTACACCATAACGAAGTGTGCCTGGTTTTGGGTTTACAGGGTCATCAGAGGGATCAGTGACTTCATATATCTCACCAAATTTCCCTCCAATGGCATCTTTGCCAAAGCCAATTGCACAATCAGCCAAGGCTTGACGGTTTGAAGCCCAATTTGTTTTGGCTCGCCAGCATGAGTCTATTTTGTTCATGACCACATTCTTTGGACTCTTGGGGATCGTGTAGTTTGGAATAGAGTACATGGTGTTGTGCTCCTCTGTTGAACCTGCATGCATTGAAGCTAAGGTAGTTAGAAAGCATGAGAGCACTAGGAGAGTCGTTAAAGTGGCCATAGTTTGTGGTTTTGAGACAGCAAACGGTTGAAGGAGGACTTATATAAATACCAAATAGGTCATGAGGACAGAAAGTGGTGCACACGATTGATGAAGGGTATGCTGTGAATTTGTTTCACAGTAAATCGTCAAGAATTGGTGTACATTACGCAACGTCAAAGACGTGGTTGCACGAATCAAGATGACAATCCAATGGATGTGATTAAGTTAATTGCAAGAAAATATTATAGATAGTAGTGGATACCCTCGAATTAAACATGCTTGCCTTGCAATAAATTTAAACAAGACATCTTTGATAAAAATATCTTTTCTTCTTAAATAAGTAGAACTCTTTTGTTCCTTATTAAATAAATTTTTTTATTATATTTTGTATTGTCCAGCGGCATTTTCCAGTAGCTTAAATTTTTAAGCGAAAGTGACTTGAAATGACTTTTACTAATATTTTAAGTAGGCATGCGAAATTCTTTAGATTTTAATTAAACTAGGTGCATTTACTTAAATAAAACACGAGTACCAGATTTTGTACAAAATTTTATTTCTTTTGGTTAGAATATAAGTGGGCTTATAAATGAATTGTGCTATTCGCGATTTGAGTTCGGTTTGATTCATTTATTAAATAAATAAAAATGAATATAATACTCCGTTTACTTATGAGCGTGATTCAAGGAATCTAATTTGCGATGCAGCGTTACTTTTGGCCTGATTTTTGACGTGAAGATTAAATTTAAATTTATATATAGTAACAACGCAACCAAAATAAATACAACAAATTAAGTTAATGAATTCCACTAAAACCAATAAAAATAATCATAGATTATATATAGTATAGTTACATATACAATGTAATGAAATTATCATACAGCGGCAAAAGATCATCAAGCATCCTATAATGATCAATTGCTCGTTTATTAGCTAGTCAAATGCAACAAATTCATCATATTTTATTGGTCATTACACACATAATTCTATAAATATATAACAAGTAATCGATCTTAATTAATTAGTGGCATTCATACGGAGTTGTTGTTGTCTTGTGTGATTCACGCATAGCTGCACATACCATAAACGCAGGAATTCCCTTTGTTGCACTTGTTGTCACATGTTCCACAATGGTGCTTGTTAAACATAGGGTTCACACACTTACCTTTGCAACATATCTGCGAGTACTTGCATCTCTTTCCACACATACCACAGTTGTTTCTGTCCGTTGACACATTCACACATTTCTTCCGGCAACAATCAGGCCCTCCGCTGCCGGCGACATGGCAAACTCTAGGGTATTTATCACAAGTCATAACTCCCGGCCCATATTTATGGCCTTTTGTGCCACGGAGAGAAGCTGATTCTTCACTTTCAGAAGATGGGATTGCAGGATTTTTAGTTGAATTGTGGGTTTTGAAGAATTGTGATTCTTTGAATGGTGTTTCTGAATTGGCAATGACCAAAGCCATTAGCATGGTAAGAAAAAAGAGTATCTGAAGGGACTTCATATTAATTGAGTGTAATTTCTGTGTGTTGGTTTGTTGGAGAGAGAAGTGAAAATATGAATGGTTTTCTTGCATGGAGTAAAATGAAGGATGCTTGGTAGCTATTTATATGGAGAAAAAGTGGAGGTCGGTAGCTATTTATATGAACTTAATTCAAAGCTGCAAACAATGTGCTAGTGGAGCAGTCTAATTCTACTGCCAAATGTGTGGTGATCAAGTAACGAAATTAGGCTTCTTTACAAGTATAAACTGACTTCTAAATATGTGGAAAAGTTTAATAGAAATGGAATAGCTGTGCCGGTCAGTAACTAACTAGGTATGGAGCCATTTTTTTGTTGTTTTATTGATCGTGATTCATAAGGTCCAATCAGTTTCAATTTGTATTTTCATGGCATATATATAATAATGTTTAATAGTGAGATTAATTAGCATACAAGTGCCACAGGGAATATTTAATTGCTTGTACAAAAGTATCAAGGAAACATATTATTTCTTGGAATATATATATCAAAAAATCAGTTACAAAGGCACTGTTTTTCCATTCCCTCTGACCTTTTGGTGTAAAAAGAATACAACTAGTCAATAATCAACGTGCCTAAGATAATTTGGTGAGCTGGGGAGACGAGGTTTATAAGACTAAATAGTAATAAAATTTCAATTTGAAGAATTTATCTGTCTGGCGGGGAACACTAGGTCAACGCAAAAGTCATATTGACAATGTCATGTGTCTATTTAATGCCTACTTGTACCAAAAAAATTATGGACACATTGTAAATTTCATAATCATATATTTGAAAAATATATTGGCTTTTTAATTGTAAGTATAAAAAGCATACTTACATATGCTTGCTGTATTTATATATTTATACTGTAGATCAAGTTAATTAAAATTAACTGTTAACCTTGAATAAGACATTATTATAAATGTATCTTCAAAGTTTTGAAATGAAAATATAGATAAATAGCGCGTTGCTGTGCCGCTGATGAGTTGGTTCTTAATTAGAGTTTTACATATACATTATGGGGACAATTATTACCAATTTAGTTTTATTACTCTTAGGACTTGATTGGTTATCGTCGGATCAATTTAAAATCAACGAGAGTTAATTTATCTCATTTTTCAACTGTTGATTTCAAATTGATCTAACAGTAACCGATCAGATAGTAAAAGTAGTAAGACTAAATTGATAGTAAAGGATAAATTGATAGTAAATAGATTCTAATTTTTGAAAAAATATTCAAATGTTTTGTGGATCTTTAGCTCATATTAAATTAAGAAATGCGACTACAAAAGTTTGGCTTAATTAATATGCCTTTTGCGGGCAATTACTATATCATTTAAATTAAATTCCAGACATTGATTAGTCATCCCCTGTAGGCTGTAGAGATGTTAGTATACTGTTCATGCTAAGCACTGATGAATGTCAGAGAGGCGCAAGGGTGGGGGTTGATTTCTTTATTATTATTAATTTCTTTATTCATTTCTTGTGTTTTTACTGTCTGCATATATGCTAGCCATATATTTAATGTCTAAGACATTATGTACATCAAGATTCAAAAGATCAAAAGATGAAGTTTAACAATTATAAAAAATTTAAGGAGCCTATACATAGGATTTATGACCTACAAATAGGCTTAGTCCTTGTAATTAATGAAATGTCATGAGGCTTAATGAGATTCAGTTAATGTAATATTATGGAAATATGTATTATCTTAATTCTAAAATGTTCTTTTGGCGGACCCAATAGAAGAAACTTAAATATATTATGATAATTTAACTTCTAGAGAGTCATGTAATTAGTTGATGGAACGAAAACCCAATTCCAGATGTTTAATCAATTGATTCGAATTTTTTAAATGTAGGGCTCATTTTTTTTAAGAAAAAATAATCTTAATTTAAAAATATTTTTAAAAACTTTTTAATAATCAAATAATATTTTAAAAAAAGTATAAATTAAATCACTAAAAGTTGTTTAGTGTTTTCATCAGATATTACAAATTATAATTTTTAAAAAATAATAATTTTTTAATTATTAACATTTGATTATATTTTTAAATTTTTGTCTATCAACCTTTTAATTATGGTAATATGTTTTAAAAAAGCTATAATTTTTTTTCTTTGAACATTTGATTATATATATATTTTCCCCATCAACCCTTTAATTATTAATTCGTCCACGATGCTAAGAACAACCATTTTAGCATAAACTATAAAAAACTGGAGTATGTAAAACTATTTATTTCATAAACAACCAATTACAAGTTATGCTTAATAACAACGAGGTAACAAGGAAATATTATTCATATACCAAGAAAAATAAAAATATTATAAATTACACAAAGTCACCAAACCAATGCAAAGAATAAATTTTAATATAACATTAGCAGAACTCATCAAGTGGTGATGGCTACTCTTTATTGATCACACTCTGTAACATTAGCAGAACTCATCTAGCTAGCTCTTGATCCAAAGAATGCTCGACATCCATTTCAAGTTCTATGCATAGCTGCACATTCCATAAACACACGAACCTCCGGTGTTACACTTGTTGCCACATTTCCCACAGTGTTTCTGGTTAGTCCTAGGGTTCACGCATTTGCCTTCGCAGCACATCTTTCCAAAGCTGCATTTCTTTCCACACCTCCCGCAATTGAAACTGTCTGTGGAAACATTGACACATTTGTTCTTGCAGCAATGAGGGCCTGCGCTTCCTTTGATGTAGCAAATCTTGGGGTATTTGTCACATGTCAATGCGAACCTGCTATGTTTATGGGAAAGGAAGCGACTTGTTCCTCCGAGAGAGTTTTGTTCTTCACTTTCGGAAGTTGTTGCTGAGAGAGTAATGGCCAAAGCCATTAGCAAGGCCAGAAGGAAGAGGGTCTTCAAGGACTTCATTTTTTGTGTTGTGTTAGGAAGCAGAAGAAGTTCAATGAAGTAATGGGGTGGGTGTTTTGATTGAGAAGAATAAAGGGTTGTCGAAACTCGAAGTATTTATAGAAGAGTAGCCTTCATTATATTATTACATGCATGAGCTAATATCCTGCGTATTTATTATTAGTTAGTGGGGTGGTCTAAATCCATGGTCAAATTAATTGTGTAAACGAAGTTAGGTTAGTTGGCTAGAACTTCAAACTCACTTACTAATTAGTTGAAAACGATTCACACACACACACAAAAAGTGTTGAAAATGAAGGGTACATAATATATAGGATTTTATAAGAGTTATGTTGTAGGAAAAGTGATTGTGTAATGTTATAGAGATTTGTTTTGCGTGCCTTAATTTTTTTATTTTATTTTTACTTTAAAAAGTGCGGGGTCCACAAAATGTTGTGTGTGTAGAAAATTTTGTTGTGTCATGTTAAAAGACAAACTACAACTCCTAATATATATTATGTCGAAGATATATATACCAATAAAACAACTATACTAATACGATATATGCTTAAATAATAATTGTTTTAATTATAAGTTAAGAAAACCAAATAGTCGTTTATATACATTCTATGGAAACCAGAAAACGGTTACTGGACCACCATACCATTCCAGTAGCCTCATAGTTTGACCTTTGTTTTTTTATAGTAGACGGATAGGAATTTGACTTCACATTTCTTCAGTCAATGTGAGCCCAATAATATATCTATTTTGAATCCAAATCAAATCTGACAATTTGACCCAATAAAAATATTGGGCTTAGAGTGAATCAAATTCGGCCCAAACTTGAGATCTGAAAAAATAGACGGTTTTATTTTGGTTCAAAAAAATAAGTAGCTTATTTTACGGTTTCACTCAACAGGTCAGGAAGGCATGGAATGAACCCAAAAAAAATAAAAAAATAAAAGAAAAACGAGGAAGACGTGATGAGACCCCCGGGCCCACTGCAATATTTTCCGATACGGCGATTCCGTATCGTAGATGATGCATCGTCCTTTATATACGTCGATAAGTTGGTGGGTGACCTGGCAATTGCTAAATGGCATCGTCAGCCGCCACGGAGGGCGGGGCAGCAGCGTCGCTGAAGGCGGTGATCCAGCGCGTGGAACAGGCAGCCGAGCGGTCGGGGCGTGATGTGAAACAGATTCGATTGGTGGCAGCGAGCAAGACGAAAGCAGTTTCTGTTCTCCGTGAGGTATACGATGCTGGCCATCGATGCTTCGGTGAGAACTACGTTCAGGAACTCGTTCAGAAAGTCCCCCAGGTTGGTTGCTTGGTTCAATTCAATTCAATTAATCCCTTGGATTCCTCATTTATCCTCACTACTCAATGCTGTTTGATTTCGTTTCCGAATTGCAGCTTCCAGATGATATCGAGTGGCATTTCATCGGCAATTTGCAGAGCAATAAAGTCAAGACTCTTCTCAGTATGTTACACGCATCCTATCTGTAACCTTATTCCTATACTTACAAACGTTTTTATTACTTTGCTTTCAATTTGTGGAGATAAGTTCATCTTTGCCACATTCATAATTTCGGTTCACTATTGATATTCAACAGCTGCTGTTCCCAACATTGCTTGTGTGGAGACTATAGATGATGAGAAGGTAATTTTTTAATTTTTAATTTTTTTGGGATATCAAAAAGAGGTAAATGTTTGTGTTTCTTCATAATTTGTTTTGGCAGAGAAGGTAAATATATTTTCATGTGCGTTCGAGTCTGAGTATATATAAGAATGTGAATTTTGCAAAAAAATAAATAAATTTGGGGGGAGTGGAAAATACATAGGACTTGGAAATAGTTGTATTATGATGACCAGTTTCATCCAAACATTTTGGGATTTCTCTTGGATGGTAAATTGTTAATGGGCATTACTTTTCTGCAGTTGTGGCAGAGAAGTAATGCCTGACATTCCTTTTTTAAAAAAAGTGAGACCATCAATGCAAGCCTAAAAAACAAAAAACAAAAGTCATTTGCCAATGTATTCCCTTCCCTGCGAAATTTCTATTGTGCTAATGCCGCACCATTGATTGGGTGCGGCAATCCAATGAAAATGGAGCAGTAGCTGTGTTGTCAATACGGATCAAGGAAAAAAGTAACTTTTAATCCACTTGTCAATTTCTTAAATGCAGACGCACGCACTACTGCCGCATACAAGATGATCTCCTTTCCCTGAAAGACACTGTGTGTGTGTGTCAGAAATCTCTTTCAGCATTAAAAGCTGAAATGATTGTTTATATATATGATGTTGAAACTTGAAAGTAGTCTTTAGTGTAGTATGCATCTCAATGGTAACTTTGCAGATGGGCCTTACATTAATTGCGCACCTCGCTGACTAGAAGTAACAACAGCGCTGCCATTTGGCCAATGAATTTCGAGAGTTGTGCAAGGAAAATTATCTTAGATCTAATCTTAATTTCATTTTTGTCCCATTAACTGTTGTTAATGTTTCATATCACTTTCTTTTGAATTGTGTTGTATGCAGTAAATTTTAATTTAAAATGTTATAGAAAATAGTGTATCTAAAATGTTCTCTAAAAAAGATTTGATATATGCATGATCTTAGTATCATTTCATCTTCATTTGCAAATGGTGCACTTATCATTTGTTTTTCGATCTTTATGCTTTTTTTTTTCTTTGCTGGCAGATAGCAAATCTTCTTGATCGTGCTATAGCAAACATGGGCAGGAAACCGTTGAAAGTTTTTGTTGAAGTGAATACAAGTGGAGAAACGTGTAAGTTACACTTGACAGATTTGCCAACCAATTCAATATGTAGAGTATCTTAAGTTGACTTGCTTGTATTAGAATTTTATTAACCCAAATTATTTTACATTGTTTCTAAAAGATTAATATGAAAATAGCATCAAAATCACGAGAAGATATTGGGTCTGTTTGATTGTGTTCTGATTTTTTTGTTCTTAAAACTGTTTTGTAAACCAGTTATGAAAACAGTTGTTTTCTATATTTTTTTCTTTTTGAAAGTTAAAAACCAAAACAAAAACACCTCAGACATATTCTCAAAATTTGATTCTAAAAACAAAAAAACAGTTATAGTTTTCAAAACATTTTTTACAAAACAGATCTTACCAAACGAGTTTTTTTGTTTTTTTGTTCTGAAAATTAAAAAACTGTTTTTAAAAACACTAATCAAACAGAGCATTGTTTCTGATTCTTTTATTGAAATTATGCTTAGCAAATCACTGATTCTAACAGCATAGATCTCTAAGTAGAAATGTAAATATGTAACCTATATTTATTACTTATTAGAATGGAGTGCTTGTCTTAGGAGGTTGCTGGTTTACAATCTTTGCACCACATCTTTGTTTTTCGTTTCTGTTCCATGATAAAAAACATTGTTGCCAATTTTTCAGTTTATTCTCAATCTCAAGAATGACATTTGACTGCTATTTTTTGCAGCAAAATATGGTGTTGAACCAGCTCGGTGTGTGGACCTTGTAAAACATATTAAAAACTGCCCAAACCTTGAGTTTAATGGCCTAATGACAATTGGCATGCTGGATTATTCATCCACCCCCGAAAATTTTAAGGTGGCGGCTTTACATTTTGGACACGATTTATTGGTTTTTTTGGGACTTCCTATCTAGTCTTCTACATAATTTTCAAAACTAAATTTTCCTTGGTACTCTCCAGACGTTATCCAATTGTAGAAGTGAAGTTTGTGCGGCACTTGGAATATCAGAAGAGCAATGTGAGTTGTCAATGGGCATGACTGCAGACTTTGAACAAGCTGTAAGGAATCTTTTTCTTGGAAAATGCATGGATTACACTCAAGGGACAAGTATTGTGACATTGTCATAATATTTTCTAACCAGCTAATTCTCTTATTTTGCAGATTGAAATGGGAAGTACAAATGTTAGGGTTGGAACAGCCATATTTGGGCCCAGAGAGTATCCAGTGAATCCCAGAGAGTATTCACTGAAAGATGAGCAGTAGCTGTCTTCATTTTGCAGTCTTGTTTGTGTCGGTATTGTGTTGCTTAGACTCACATGCCAAAGTCGTAGAGCAGCATGAACAAATTATTAAAGCTGGAAGTAAATACAGCGAGAGCACAAGAGTAGTAGTCAACAAGCTACGAGAGAGCTCTGAATTCAGAATAATCTTCTAGACTGAACGTTATATGCATTGCTGCTTATCTGTCTAATGTAAAAGCCAGCCTATTCAAATGAAGCTGAACCAAAATATTCTTAGAAATTTAAACCTTGTGGCTTGGTTTGTCATTTTATGTTGCCCACATGACATGGGGTATCCCTGTTCTCAGGGAAATAAATATTTTTCAATGACACTAGAAAAGTAAAGCAGTGAGAGTTATTTTGGTTTGAATCGCAATTTTTTGGGGTATGGAAATCACTTACTTTGACAATTAATTTAATATATAATTGATATTTCGTTTTAGAAGAGTTAGAAAATAAGAATTGATTACATTTTGAAATAAAAATTTCACAAGCAGTACTATTATGGTTAAACCGTTTACATAAAGGAATTTGATTAAACCGTTTATGCCGAGTCATTCATATTCGAGCTTAGCTGCATCCTAAGGAATGGGTCATGTTGACATACAAGCCTAAGCTGCAATTACTACCGAGTCTGATTGGCTTAAATCGGTGGGTGGCGTCACTGCCACACCCATCTTCAGCTTCAGTCACCACCCACTCATTCAATGCCATAATCAATCACCATTCATCCCAAGGTGCTCACCGTCAAGTTCTTAACACCTATGCCTCAATGCTCAACACCCACGTTCCTTCTGACGCCTACACTTTTCCCAGTCTTCTCAAAGCTTGCTCCTCTCTCAACCTCTTTTCGCTCGGTCTTTCCCTCCATCAACGCATCCTCGTTAATGGGTTCTCCATTGATGCCTACGTTGCTTCTTCTTTGATTAATTTCTACGTTAAATTTGGGTTCGCTAATGTTGCTCGCAAAGTGTTCGACTTTATGCCCGAGAGGAACGTTGTACCTTGGACTAACATTATTGGGTGCTATTCTCGCATGCGTCACTTTCTTGAGGCCTTTTCTTTGTTTGATGAAATGCGTCGCCAGGGAATTCAACCCAGTAGCGTTACCATGTTGAGCTTGCTGTTTGGAGTATCAGAGCTTGCTCATGTGCAGTGTTTGCATGGTTGTTCAATTTTGTATGGGTTTATGTCTGATACAAATTTGTCAAATTCAATGCTAAATGTATATGGGAAATGTGGAGACATTGAGGATTCTAGGAAATTGTTTGATTACATGGACCATAGGGACCTGGTTTCATGGAATTCCTTGATATCAACCTACGCCCAGATTGGGGATTTATGTGAAGTTTTGCTGCTTCTCAAGACAATGAGGGTACAAGGTTTGGAGCCTGACCCACAGACTTTTGGGTCGGTGTTGTCTGTGGCTGCGTCAAGGGGTGAGTTTAAATTGGGAAAGTCAGTGCATGGCCAGATTTTAAGAGCTGGTTCTGACTTGGATGCACATGTTGAAACATCACTCATTGTAATGTACTTAAAAGGTGGGAACATTGACATTGCATTTAGAATGTTTGAAAGGAGTTCAGATAAGGATGTTGTTTTGTGGACAGCAATGATCTCAGGCCTTGTGCAGAATGAGTCTGCGGACAAGGCATTAGCCGTTTTCCGTCAGATGTTAAAATTTGGGATAAAGCCATCTACTGCTACTATGGCTAGTGTAATTACAGCTTGTGCACAGCTTGGGTCTTTTAATTTGGGGACTTCGGTTCATGGCTATATATTAAGGCAAGAATTGCTATTGGATATCGCTGCTGAAAACTCTCTGGTTACAATGTATGCAAAGTGTGGTCACTTGGATCAGAGTTCCATTGTGTTTGATAAGATGAGCAAAAGGGATTTGGTTTCCTGGAATGCGATAGTTACTGGATATGCTCAAAATGGATATGTGTATAAGGCCTTGTTCCTTTTTGATGAAATGAGGACTAATCATCAAACACCTGATTCAATAACCATTGTCTCCCTCCTCCAAGGGTGTGCATCCACTGGGCAACTCCACTTGGGTAAATGGATCCACAGCTTTGTAATAAGAAATGGCCTTAGGCCATGCATCATGGTTGACACTTCTTTGGTAGACATGTACTGCAAATGTGGTGATTTGGATACTGCTCAAAGGTGTTTCAACCAGATGCCAAGTCAGGATTTGGTTTCATGGAGTGCCATAATTGCAGGATATGGCTATCATGGCAAAGGAGAGACTGCATTGATGTTATACTCAAAATTCCTGGAAAGTGGGATTAAACCCAACCATGTGATTTTCCTCTCAGTTCTATCTTCTTGTAGTCATAATGGACTCATAAACCAGGGCTTGACCATATATGAATCAATGACTAAAGATTTTGGGATTGCACCAAATCTTGAACACCATGCTTGTGTGGTAGATCTCCTCAGTCGTGCTGGGAGGGTAGAAGAGGCATATAACTTGTACAAGAAAATGTTCTCAGATCCTGTAATTGATGTTCTAGGCATACTCCTTGATGCTTGTCGAGCAAATGGTAATAATGAACTTGGTGATACAATTGCCAATGATATTCTCATGCTGAGGCCTATGAATGCTGGAAATTACGTACAACTAGCACACTGCTATGCTTCAACAAACAAGTGGGAAGAAGTGGGTGAGGCATGGACCCATATGAGATCTCTTGGCTTGAGAAAAATTCCTGGCTGGAGCTTTATTGACATACATGGGACCATCACTACTTTTTTCACAGATCACAATTCACACCCTCAGTTTCAAGAAATAGTGTATACGCTAAAAATTTTGAGAAAGGCAATGGCCAAAATGGAGGAAGTGGGCATTACCCCTGAAAGCAGCCACATGCATCACAATATTATGTGCTAAAAAGTTAACTAAACAGGACTATTTCCAGGAATGGCTGGAACTCTTGGAGTTCCTGTGATGCTGCTGCATTAATGTATTTGGATATCCATCAAAGATTTTGACCCATGGCAATTTTCTTTTTTATCTTTGAGTAAATACCCTTTTGAGTTCCTAACAAAAAACACGGTCCCCACTTTAGTCCCTTACAAAAAAATTTAGTAAGTTGGTTCCTAACAAATTCAAAGTGAACCTATTTTAGTCCTTTCGAGGGATTAATATGAATCTTTTTTAAAATTGTGAAGGACCACGATTTCAACTAAATGGGTCCACTTTGAATTTGTTAGGGACTAACTGACTAATTTTTTTTTATAAGAGATTAAAGTGGAGACCGTATTTTTTTTAGGGACCAAAAAAGGTATTTACTCTTTATCTTTTTGGTTCACATGATATCAGAGTTCTGTCAAAGTCTTATATACAATGGGCAGATGGTTTACATTTTGGATTCGTCTGCTTCTTATAAAGAGATACAAGCATTCAAGGAATTTTTAACAACGTTTTTAGTATGGAATAATTTTCTTCAGATATTTTTCTTTTTTTAACGAATTATTAGATAATATTTAACTATAGTAAAACTGTTATAAATGATTTCATATAGCTGTTCAAAAATACTTTTTTTTTCTATTAGAAAGAAAAAAAAAGGAAATTTTGGGCACTCACTGTAACACGAATTGTTTATAAAACACTAGGTCTCTGTTAGAGTAATTTAAATTGTTCAAACGCAAAATAACTCAAATTAGAATGTAATGAAGAACCATATTTACCTTCAAAATAATCATAATGAAATAACTACACCTTTAATCAAATGACTATTTTTTTTTTAACTTATTTGGTATACTTATATGGTTATCCATTGTATTTTTCAGGATTAAATTTGAAGCTAGCGCATTGAAAAATGTAAAAATTATTTTGATCAAAAACTCCAAATAGCTCACAACCTAACTCCAGTTTACTAAATTTTTTATTATTAAAATAAACATTAAAAAAATAACAAGTATGTCATTGTGTCAAAAAGTTAGTCCATATAAATGGGTATTTACTATGAAATAAAATTGCCACAAGTTATGTTACCAAAAAAAAAAAAAAATTGCCACAAGCTCACAATACCATCCCGATCTATCTAAGGTTGGGAATTGTGAGTTAGATAAGCAAGATTGAATTGATTAATTAACAAGAGAATGAACCAATAAAGTTTAGCATAGTTGGTAGATAGTTGGGTTTCTTAAATATGTTGACAGAGATTCAATTTCTGACCATGTGTATGAAGAAAATTTTGTTGAGAAAAGTTTAGTCAGTTAATATAAAATGATTAGTCTTCGACACTCTGGACTAGAGAATACCTTAAAAAAAAAAATGAATGACCAAGGTAACGAATCAGTGAGAAGGGGAATTATACTTTGATGTTTTTGTTTTCTGTTTTTTTTTTTTATTTCTTTGTGTGGGCTTTTAGCCTTTTTGGTTACCAAAAAATAAAAAAAAAGGGAGAGAGAGAGAGAGAAACTATATATATAGAAGAGTGAGACGTACGTGAGAAACACACACGTAGACATGTTGATGCCGTTTTCCCCGAAACCTTAGAGGGAGACAGATACGCGAATCTTGAAACCAAAGCTTAACTAATTCTCAGTCAAGATCCTGTTCCCAAGTTCACTGGAAAATCCAGAAACTGAAACAAAAGATGAACAGGAGGCAGCGAAGGGCGTTCAAATTGTTCATGTGGATTCTGGGACTCTGTCTAGCCGGTTATATTGCAGGACAACCATTGTATTGGCAACTCAACGAGACCCTCAACTCCGTCTCTTCTTCTTGTCCTCCTTGCCACTGTGATTGCTCTCTTCAACCCCTTCTTTCTCTTCCTGAAGGTACCTTTACTTTCTCCATTTTAATATTTCCCCTTTAAATTTTTAGCATGAAATAACATTTTTGTTGTTATGTTTGTTTGTTTGTTTAGGAAAATGACTATGAATGAGTTTCCTTTCCTAATTGATGGTGCTCGAAAGAAAAACATAGATTTTACACCAAATGTTAAGCCATATTGGATTAATGGGTTTTTAGGAAACTCAGTTATTCGAAACCATCTGTTGTTACACTAGCTTGCAAAATTCATCTGGGAAGAAAATTTTTCTTTTCTTCTTATTTCAAAAAAATCGTAAGATTCATCTTATCTAGATAATTTTTTTCTTTTATAGTAGGCTTGCTATACCTGGCGCCAATCCTTCTCCTTTACTCTAACTTGAGACTGGCTATACATGCATACATATATATAGGTGGAATTAAATTACTCTCCGTTAAACCCCAACTACCAAAGGTAATAGTGGGAGCAATCATTACACGCTGCCTTATCCTTATGTATTTACAAAAAGGCTTCCATATTTGCACTTGGGAACTTTCAGTCATAAAAGAGTAACTTTACCATTGCTCAAGGCGCGTCCTCTAATTAAGGATAAGGATAAAAGTGTTATTGATGTTAATGTTATAGTTCTTATCTTCCAGAAAAGAATATTCAAGTGTTAATTCCTTGGTCTTTTAAACGCATTCTGATTCTGGTAAGTGGGTTATTTACTGTACATTCTGTTAAGCATGGTACATTAGGCCTACAGGGTGATCAATTAATGACTCTGTGTCCATGCAATGGAAAATAGGAAAGTTGATACAGTATTTGTATATGTTGTTTCTTGTGCTCAGACATTGATTGCTGATTGCTAACGTGGTGTCTCTGCTTGTTTTTCACTGCAGGATTTAGCAACAACTCCATTTTAGGTTAGTTCTTCTCCCTTTATTACACACTTAAAAGAAAAGCAACAGGTATGAGACGAAGATTATATATTCTTTGGTTTAAGTATCTACACTATCTGACGTAGGATGAATCATTCTGGGATGGTCAAGCCTATTCTTTAATCCTGAAGACTTGATAAAGGATGTGGCTATTACTAAATTTCACCCTCTCCAAGCCCAAATGCCAAATGCTATTTTTCTTATCTGCTAACATAGTGGATTATGGGGTCAAATAGCTGATTTCTTAAAAATAGTTAATTGTCTTTTCAGTCATGATCGTCATAGTGTGGACAATGTTGTGTTATATTTAATTATGTCCATGTTATAAAAAATGTAAAATGAATAGTTTTAGTGTGGTGTAGGGGAAACTAATAGAATATGTAGAGGATAATGCTTCCAATTATAAAAGAGTTCAAATTCTTTTAACTTTCATTTATGGACAATTTCAAATTATATTTAGTGTATCTGTAGATTGCATGAGGCAAGACCCAGAGGTGAGTCAACAGGTGGAGAACAGTTTTACAAATCTTTTGTCCGAAGAAGTAAAGCAAAAGGAAGCTGAAGCAGGGGAAAAACAAAGGCTTGCTGATATATTACTTTTAGAGGCTAAGAAAATAGCATCACAGTATCAAAAGGAGGCTGACAAGTGCAATTCAGGGATGGAGACATGTGAGGAGGCTAGGGAAAGAGCTGAAGAAGCACTTGAAAATCAGATGAAAGAAACTGCCTTGTGGGAGCTTAGGGCTCGTCAAAGAGGATGGAAAAGTGCTGCAATGAAATCTCGAGCTCGTTTTTAAATAAGACACAGCTCTTTTTTTTGTCAGTAGTTTATTCATTCTTTTATTTATTGATTATTGATTATTTTGTGGTTACAATGAAAAATAAATACACAAGATTACTTTTTGTTTCACGTTAGATTGAGTCATTTTTTTCTCAATGTAGTGCTCAACCATTCAGTCTGCCCATGAATTATTGACTTTTCTTACTATTCATTTTGTTGTGAACAGTGTATATTTTATAAACTATTCATTGCTATCAGCCTATCGTTTTGGAAATGCCACTAATTACTTGTTAGGTTGTGGTGTTGAACCTTAACTTGTGTTCCCATAGCCCATTGATTAGCTGTTGACACATAACAGTATCTTTAAGACCTGTTATTCCCCAGTAACCAACTAAACTGCGAGCCTTCGTCATCTGAACAAGACATGAGTTATATTCCTCTTTGAAGAAAAGGCATCGAGGCTTGTGATATGTTGTTGATTATGAAATGGCATAACTTCCCCTCCTCATAAGCTCTTTAATATAAAATAAAGGAATTGTTTTATCCGGAGCCGCGAGACTATACCATAATTCACCAGTTCAAGTATAATAGATCTTTTTTAGTTCAATTCCCCCAGTTCAAGTATTGGAAAGATAAGGGGAAGGATAGGACAGATTTATTGAAGGAAACTTTAGAAGGGAAGGGAATTGGATTACTTATCTCATTTGGATGCTGAAAAGCAATGCAACTATGTAAACTAACAGAGTGAAAGTTTTGCAGTACCTGTTCTAAGCATGTTATTGCTTTTGTACGGAAAATCGCAATACACGAGGAGTAAGAATGTCATTAACACCCAATAAAACTAATCACTGGCCTGGTCCACTTGTAGGCGTAAATCCTAAAGATTTATCCGCCAATGGTTTCTTCATTATCTTTTTAAGTTCTATTCACGTAATAATTTGATGATAATTAATCAGTAGATTTAAAGAGAGTGAGAAAAACTAATGCTAAATACAAAATAAAAAATAGGGTCATTCCTATCCAAAATAAAATTGCCAGAGAATTTTTAAAAATAATGCTTTTTTAGGGAAAAAAAACATTTCTACATCATCTGCCACACACACTATATACTCCTTAAGAATATATAATATAATTTTTTTGTCACAAACTCTATTACAGGGAACCCACTACTTTTTTGGGAGAGAAGGAGACAAACTTAACTTTGTTGCAGTTGCTGCGGAAAAGTTAAACCCCTTTTTTTATATTATAACTTATTACATTACAAATGTGGTTTGATGTGAAAGACCTAATGGTCCTATCAGCTCGTTACATCCGATCCGCAGCTACTTTACCTTACCCATAAATTAACTAATTCAGCCGCAGCTACAAACTTTTGTATTCAAAATCTGTTCTTGTGGAGTGGAGTATGCTGTATATAACTTGTAGTAATCCCATTTGACGTCCGAAGTATATGTCTAAGTAGGTCAGTGAGTAATCAGAAGCACAAGTCATGAGGGAGTGGCTAACATTGCAGAAACTTCAGAGTGGTCAACAACTTCGTCGCTCAGCAAGCGCATAGCAGCTCCCTGAGAGAATTTCCTAGCAAACAAAAAGCACGGAACGGGTGTTGAATTGGTACGACACCATTCCGTCCGGTACTCGCTGTCATAATAAACATGGTTGATGCCCTGTTAAAAATTAACATGAGATAAAGAAAATAGTTGCATGAAAAACTTGTAATCACTTTAGCAAAAAAGAACAAATGTAATTACGCTAATTGAATATAATTCTGCAATTCTATGATGACTGCTAGACCTATTTATGTAAAGCAATAAAATCTTACTTAGAGCACAAAATCGAAAACAGAAGACTAAGAAATCATTTGCAAAAAGTAGTAAAATAGACATTTACTCAACTCTTCCAACAAAAACATTCTTCACTTTCAACCCAGAAACGTGGGCACTTCAATCTTATCAAGAAAGGTGGCAGTTTGATTATTGAATATGAATTATACCATGATATAGGATCATTCTATACCCCTCCAAGCAAGCATTTCCAGGACTAATTTCAAGAAAGTTTTATTTACGTCAATGACAGTTTTCAACCATCCCAAGTTCCAACCACATTATGTGCAAGAGAAAAAAAAGAAAAAGAAAAAACCAAGGTTTCATTAACTGAATCCTTTAATTTTTTGTCTTAATTTTTTCCCGTGATGGGTGACCGGAGATTGAGCCTTCTCATTTATCCACCCCGTAAATAGCTCTCATGGGAAATGAAAACGATTAACCCCACATGGGACTTGTGAATAAGTGATTGTCTGATAATGAGCAAGAAATATACGTGCTTAAGTCAAATGTGAGGCATCAGAAGATAACCTTCATTTCCTTTATCCTTTGAGGGCCAGCATTTGCATAGCTGAAAGTAATAGGATGCCAGCCTTTATTCTCCATTTTTGTTGCAGACTGGTTCCACAGGGTATAGGTCACCGTTCTACGTTCAAGTTCACCTTCAAGGCCATGCATCTAGAAAGAAAGCACAAGAGAAATGTGTATCATGATTTACATTACATACAAACAATATCCGTGCATTTATTCCTTTAAGAGTTATTGCACATTATTTGATCAAGGTCCTTTGTAAATAAAGTAGAAGCGAGAAATATTACTAGTGCAAATAAGATTGAAGAACACATCCCCAATCAACAAATATAGATAATGATGGAAAAATCTCAGTATCTTACTGCAAGCAACGTCTGCACATAGTGTTCATCTGGAATACAGTTGTGCTGCTTCTGAAGTTTCTGCATTTACACCAAAACCATAGCAAACAATTATCAACAAGAAAAAAAAAATTATTATTACAAAATGAGTACCGGGTAGCATCACAATATTTTCAGTATAAACAACATTATGATCTCAGCATAGTAGATAAAGAAAGTATATTGTTTGAAGCTAACAAGGAAGAAAAGAGACATTGCTGTTCCATGGGTGTGAACAGTAACCCATCTGAGCATACTCTGATCAGTGAAAAAAAAAAAAAAAGGCGAGACAATAGAGGGGGAAAAGGGAGAAAATTTAAATAGCAACGTCACTTACAGCCACAATGCTTAAATAATCACTCACCAAACTTTATATATTATCAATATCATTATTTTTCATATAGATGAATTTACTATTCTAAGTACTTCTTTTTTATCAGACATAGAACATTATTCTACTAACATTAAGAACACAATGAGGTGATATCCCAACAAATATAGCACTCAATAAATAAATAAATAAATTGGTTGAACTCTTTATAATATCATTAATAAATATCATTATAATAATTAAAATACGTCTTACACCATAATATATATATATATATATATATTTAAATATTAAATATATCTTATATTATATTTCTATACAAAAATAACGATATTCCCCTTTTTGCATTTAAAATTGTCTTGGCATGGACTCCTCAAACCACATATGTAAGTAATATTAAGTTCAACAATGTTCCCGACAAATCAAGTTGGCTTAGTGGAAATGTGCATTTTCACCTCATCACAAGCTGTAGATGTGCTCAATTACCACTTTCACCATTTTGAGCCGGTTCAGCTCCAATCTATTTAAGCTGCAGTCCGGTTTGGGCAGTTTGCCCAGTTTCAAAGCCAGTTTTCAGTATGCAGTTCTGAGACCAGCCAGTGGACCGGTTCCTGGTTCAACCGGCCAGGCCAGGCCAGGCCGGTTTTCAGAGCCAAGCTACTAATATAAGACATATTCTACACAGTAACTGAGGTCCAGTTTAAAACTTGACAAAGCTGGACTAAACATTTATAATACCTCACTCAGTCAAAAAAACAGGATTGCATGCCCCAAGAAAAGTCCAACGTTCCCAGATATAAATAATTTTGAACTCTCAATTTGAAGCCTTTTTCTAATGTTACATCAACCTCAGCTTTTGCTTGACCGTGGTGCACAGAGGTTCCGTTATCCAGTTACAATTATTTGGAACTACCAGTAGAATCAACATACCCTCGAACTTCCAGCCTTGAATTAATAATTTCCCATTAAAAGCAAAGAATGTGATTCGCAGTTCACAATTATGCATATCAGCCTAAAATAACATAATAAATTCCAGTAACAACGCAAAGAAAACTAAAATTAGACCACTTACAAGATTCAGCTTTCCCTTTCTGGTATCAATTGGCGGCCGTCTCTGCCAAGTGAGAACAGGTTTTTCTTTAGTATTAATACATTACAGACTTACAATTGGTCAAGTCTTGTATGGTATTGAACGATAGAGAATTAAATTTTGAATTCTAGATGACGACTTTCATATAATATCGACCAACTTTTTAATAAATAAATACAAGAGTATTGGAATCAACGTAGAATTGTAGTTAAACCAACTAACCAGTGATCAATTACATACCTTACAATATTTCTTAAAGACAGAAAAGATAACATCATCATCTACAATCACTTCTGCATGGTTTCGAACTAAGGTGATCCACTGGAAATAAAAAATAAATAAATCAAATAAAGACAATTTCTGCGAATAATTGGTTGAAAATTTCATCCTGTAATCTAAATGTAACAATTAACATCCATTCGATATCTATGAAAGTAATACATAGCTAAACTCTGCTTTCCCAAATTAGAAATTGCCCCCATAAAATGGCAAGTGGAGAACTTTGACTTTATTAGAAAGCACTGATCAAAGTCAGCTGTGTGTTCTCCAACAAGTTTGAAATAGGAAGGCATATCCTTGCCTCTATATTTCAAACCATTAATCCATTTAACTAATTGAATCTATACTATCACATAAAGGAAACACAGCTTAAAACTACCTACATGAATATGAAGATTGAAGAGCAAAGTGAAATGGAATCTTAGGAGCAGTTTGGCAACCCTTAAAACTAGTTTAGAGTTGATTTAAGATAAAGTAGTCATATAAATTCAGGTTATTATATAAAGAGTATGAATTTATTTTTAGGTTGGTCAAAATTTGTCTCCGGCTTTGAAATTTTGAAATCATAACCAAAATTTAAATTTAAATATATAGAGAGAAACAGGACATAGATAAAGAAACTTTTAAATCAGTTTTAAGAGAAAGTAAAGAGATAATAATAAAAACGAAAAAACAAAAAATTAGGGGGGGAAATACGAGCCATTAATACAAATGGAATACAACAAAAGTGACTCTGTATATTGGCTTTTTCCTAACACTAAATATTTTAAAACCAGCTCCGTTGTATTTAGTTAGCTGGATTTTAGAGCTTCGAAAACAACCCCCTTATATTTCATCATTCTTTCAGCAAGCCATATTGATGCTTCTCTATCAACTAGTATCACATAAAATTATGTGTGTGAAGAACCGATTCAACCCAAAAGCTTACACCATTAAGTGAAAGCCCATCAATGGTTTTATATTATATCTCTCTAACATACCATCTATTGGGCTTGACGTGTGGATATTTCACAGGCTCGTTTTATTTTATTTTTGTTCTACCTTGTGTTGACTTAACTCTATTAGAAAGTGGGGACGGTGAAAATCAAACTCATTACCCCGTGGTCACAGAGGCTCTGATTCTATGTAAAGAACCAATTCAACCCAAAAGCTTAAGCTGTTAAGTGAAGGCCCATCAATGGTTTTATATTATATCTCTCTAATGTGTTTATAAGAAAAAGCTACACCTAACCCGTAGGTTTCAACAGATTGCAGAAGAAAATAGAAAATATTCTACTAAACATCGTTTGAGAAACATACAAAAAACAAAACTACAGATAAAAACACCAGCAGAAAGGGTCTTGGGTGATTGGAAAGAACAACATTGAGGTTCGACAAAATGAAATTAAAGATAAGAGAAATAACCTGGGACCCTTTACGCCATTTTTCCCTTGGTATTTTAGGTGACATTTTTGGGTTGTAGCGGCCCTCCTTCACATCAAGAAAGCTGCAACATAAACAAAGTCGTTCATTGTACCTTTAAAACATCTCCAATTCATAAAAGGGGGAAAAAAATAGTATGGACTGATTATAATTGAACAATCAAAAAAGAATTAGTGCTAAGCACCTCAAGAACCAAAGCCTTCTTCTACCTGTCCACGAAACTCCTTGGAGAAACCATGACATAATTGTACACATAGGAAAAGTTGTACAGAGGAACACAGCTGCACATGGAAAACAGACACTCAGATTCTTACAATGGGCAAGTAAGTTCACGCAAACTCAATCTGACCCTGCCTTCAAAAAGGACCGATGAAGAAAACAAAGGAAAAGAAACATAGAAGAAACCTCCTAATGGAAACTTATGTTAATACAAGAGTTGACTATAAAACACCAACCTGTCCGAGAGAAGAACAAATCTTTGATTTGCAGGGTCCTCTAAAGCTGCTGCCAGTAACAACCTTTCGGCCTGAATCATACTCGATTCTCCCCATGAAACCTAAACTATGCAACAATGAATACTCATAAACAAGGAGTAAACCAACATATTCGAATACCAGACAACACATGACGGTCTCACAATTTATGCTGAACCACATCTGCATACACATGTCAGGCTAAAAGCATAAATCCGTTGCAAAAAATGTGTCTGAAAAGAGGGTAACACTCTTTAATATCACATGCTGTGCTTCCGACAACCAGATTATAACAGAGTAATAAAATCACCCTATTGGCATTCTTTGTTGCAAGTTTTTTAATTTGGGCGATTTGGCTATGATCGAAATAAAAATATGAAATGGGCTTAAAAAAAAAGAAAAAGAGAGAGAGACAGTTATTATGTCCACGTCTCCATCATGTAAGCAACATAGCGATTAGCAAGTTAACCTAATCCACTAGAAATGATTCACCCTTGATCGAGAATACAAAATTGAATTTTTATTTTTTAAAGCAATTTTGGTATCCCTTAAAATTAGGGATGGACAATTTTTTTCACGCAATATTGCATCTGAAATCCATCCCCGAGGGTTTGGCGGGTACGAAAGAAAAACTTATATAAGCAATATTTTTTCTTGTTTTCATCTTCTCCGTTACGAAAAGGGAAAAAATCCATCACTTTCTCAACAACCAATTTCAAAGAGAACTCACCTGAATGCTATTACTGAGTTGACGACCGTAGAAGAAGTGCGACCTGGTGGTTGACTCATCCAACACAAACCCAGGAGCCGAATGCACATAAATCGAGAATCTCGAAACGTCGCCGTTCTGCATAAACATTTGAAATTATCCCAAATTTCCGATTATTTCTAATAAAGTAAAAAAAAAAAAAAAAAAAAGGTGCGAACCTGGAAGAAAGCACCCCAGAGAAAATCGAGAGGGAGGTTGCGGCGAACGAGGAACAAGAAGGCGATCTTAGGAGTACCATCGAAGACGCGAGAAATTGAAACTGGGGGTGAGTTAGTGTGCAGCGTGAAGAGAGCTGCTAGAGCTAAAACGACGACGCAGGAGAGGGAAACGGAGAAGAGGATCAACAGCTTCCAGCTAAACCTACTACTCATTACTACGTGGCGTCTCTTCATGCCTCTTGCCGCCATTCCTCACTCCCAACGCCAACGCCACCTACGTTAATCCTTTTTATGTCATACAACTTATAACCAAAGCAAAAAAAAAAAGAAACATAAGAGAGGGTGCATCTGCATCGCATCGAATCAATATGTTGAATTTTGAATTGGATGCACATGCAGAAGATAAATAATCAAATAACCCTTTCCCATACTTAATTTCCCTGCGTGCTTTCTCTCCATGCCCATCGACAAGTGTTGCTTTGCGCCTGTTCAAATCAAAAATATTCAACACTTGGAAGCATTGCACTCAGAGCCAAATCAACCTCATCAAATACGACGTCGTCATGAGTCTTTTGACCTTTCCTTATCGTGGGTCCCACTACGACGCGGGATAATCACACGTCGGCACCGCACCGCCCCAGCCAAATTCACATCATTTGGTGACCTAACAAACAAACACTATTTTAGAATACACGTTACACAATAGTCTTTACTCTATACTTTATTCAATAGTGAAGTCCCCTCGTTATTTTTTGCTCTAATTAATTGCTAATAACATTAAAAATAATTCTAATTCTGCCCCAATTCTAAGTATTAAGCTGATTTAACTATAATGGAGAGAGTATAAACCAGCTTACCAATCATGTGATGATATTCCGTAGACAATGTGAATGGTTTACCTTTCATTTTTAAAATAACACTTGACGACTAAGCAATCAAGTACACTTTAAAAAAAAAACTAAATAAAGACTCAGTAAATATCAAACCTGATACGCTAGCCTGTTTACTAAAAGTGAAACGACATCATCCCAATTCCCAATCATTGTCATTCACCAATATTGCAACAGTAAAAAAAGAGAGCAATATCAAGAGCGACCCCTATCATTAGAATCGACAAGGTCACCAGACACACATATATATATATATATGCGCGCGCATTGCAACAAACAAGAGAGTCATCAAAATGTCACGCTATGACAAAAAAATTACCAGAATGTCACACGAACAGTAAAAATTTTCAAACTGCCACGCGGCAGTGTAGTGAATTATATATGCAAGTAATTTGCTACACAGTGTAGCGAAATATGCCACATCAGAATGCACATAACCAAAAAGTGGCATGTGTCAGAATGTTGAAATTCGCTACATAAGGTAGCAAATTTCAATAATTTTGACACATGGCACTTTTTGGTTCTGACGTGGCATATTTCGCTACACTGTGTAGCGAATTATTTGCATGCATAATTCGCTACACTGTGTAGCGAATTATGCCGCGTGACAGTTTGAAAAATTTTACTGTTCGGGTGACATTCTGGTAATTTTTTTACCAAAACGTGACAAAATAGTCACTGTCCGGCAACAAACCGCATTGCAAGCGCCTGCATTGGTCATGATAACAAATTTTTGGTCACGCATGTACAACATCAAATAAAGATGGAAGCCCATCTTGCACCTCTTCCATTTCAAGTTATGCACCTCTTAAAGCTGAACATAAATCATTCACTAGCTGCCACTATAGAAAAATCATGATTTTTAAAAAATATATATATAATATAAAATTATTAATATGAAACTTATTACATAATATGAGATCAAAATTTAACATGGAAAACATTTCACTGTTAAGAATACAAAGTTTTTTTTGTGCCACTTTAAGTAACAAAGCCGCACACCTTCTACCCATTTTAAGTATTTACCTTTTGATAACGATTTTCTCAAGTATTGTTTTAACTAATAGGTTCCGAATGAAGAGTACACACTGTGCCATTGAAACCAGGTCTTTGCATCCCAGTCCCTCGATTGGGGACCAACATATAGTTTTTGGTCTATTTTCTATATCAAAAAAGATCAATTCGACCTTCCGAAAATCTTCTCAAAACTACTATGGGGATTTACTTTATTATTTTTCAAGTTGCTCTAGTTATTTGTCATTTGTTTTTGGAGTTATATTTCTTTTGTTTCATATGAGAGAAACTAAGTTTCGAAACACATAAAACAGAGGTGGTCTCATATCTATTTTTTCTCTCTTCTTTTGCCTGTAAGTTTTGCTTGTGGTATTATCTCTGTTAGATAATTCTTATGTAACATGATAAAATGATTTCTCTTTTTTTTTTAGGACAAAAAAACCTTCTTCTTTTTTACTAGAATAGTAGATGATGTGTTGACGAAAGAAAAATGCTCAAGCTGCTCCACTTTGCTTTAACACTTGAAACTGATAAACTTTTTTAAAAATCATAATTACACTGCACCTTCTTTCAAATATTCCCCTAGCTGCTTGGAATATTCACCATTTAGGACTAATTTAATGAAGGTGCATGCTGATTACAAGAATGTTTTCATTGAGAAACATGGTGTGAAGTTAGGACTTATGTCAGGGTTTGTCAAGAGACTTGTGATATGCAGTGTGTTTACATTACAACACCTTGATCATGTTTATTTAAAGACTCTTTCATTTCATCAGCATCAATCAATTATCAATGGTGTCATTGATGGAGATGACATCATCTAATTTACAGATTATATATTGACATTAGTATTGCAGTTGGTACATCAAATTAAGGTGTGTATCTTAGCTATGTGTGTAACTAGCCACTTGTAAAAAGTGTTTAAGATAATATTTCTTTTTGGAACGAATTGATTTGGCCCTATGAGCTGCAGAACCAATATGATTAGTCTCGTAAGTCTTGGTTCAAGGGGTAGTATAATTTGATCTTGCTGACAAATTTAGAATATAAAAGCCAATATGGTTCTATTGTGTTTCATATTGAATCTTTGCATTTATTTTAGATAGATACACAAAAATCAAGATTATTGTCTAGCACACAGATAATTGTAATATATAATTGAGATTGTATATGATTATCTGACCATGAGAACATCTTTCAATGAGAATTTTTAAATAAAGAATTCCTGCTATTGTTATAAAATCCAAAACTTGCATCCTTAACATAATATTTTCCATTAATTGTTATCCAATTATTCGGTCTTCTATTTTTCTTTATCTTTTTGTTGTCTTTTTTTTTTTTGGAGTTAAAAAAAAAAAAAAGCAATTGTGTGCTTAGGTTCAATGCGGACAATTCTTTTGATTCTCAACTTCGGCTGAATTTGCTTGAATTTTCTTAGCTTATTTCTGCTTCCTTGCTTTATATTAATTGATATTACTTGAGTCACCCCTTACATCTTTTGTTTTTTTTATTATTATCTTGATACTTTCCGTAAGAACTTGTGTGGTCAAATATGATTCACTTTCACGGGATTTGGTTTCAAGGGTCTTCTTGTTCCGATAGTTAGCAATGCTGATCAATAGGGCCGTGCACAGTTTTTCTATAAGCTCTTCTTTTATTTTTATCTTTTCATTTTGCTTACATACTAAGGACATTATTACATTATTTAATTGGGTTTTAGCGGAAACAATTTTTCCTATTTAATTTGTTTAATAACTCATATAATTATTAACATATTTAAATTTATTAAATAAATTTGTTCATCAAATATCATTATGTTATTATATGCCTTAATTAGTTTCAAAAATATCTGTTGAGATATATAGTCTCACATTGGTTGTATGTGCAACTAATGTGGCCTTTATAATGCCTTGGACACTCTCACCCTTTGAGCTAGCTTTTGGGGTGGTGTATCCCAAGGTTCTTTACATGGTATCAGAGCTTCGCCGCCCCCCACTTTCTCTTGTGGCGTTTCTTAGCACAGGTAGGTTGGGCCTGTTGCATTGTCCACGCTTCAAGCCCAAAGGGCTTTCGTGTGAAGGGGCGTGTTGAGATATACAGTCCCACATTGGTTGTATGTGCAACAAATGTGGAGTGGAGTTTATAAGGCCTTGGGCACTCCCACCCTTTGAGCTAGCTTTTAGGGTGGTGTATCCCAAGGTTCTTTACACCGTATCAGAGCCTCGTGTCCCGGGTTCGATCATCGCTGCCCCCCACTTTCTCTTGTGGAATTTCTTAACACAGGTAGGCTGGGCATGTTGCGTTGTCCACTCTTCAAGCCCAATGGGCTCTCGTGTGAGGGGGCGTGTTGAGATATATAGTCCCACATTGGTTGTATGTGCAACTAATGTGGAGTTTATAAAGTCTTGGGCACTCCCACCCTTTGAGCTAGCTTTTGGGGTGGTGACCTCAAGGTTCTTAACATGGTATCAGAGTCTCGCCGTCCCCCCACTTTCTCTTATGGCGTTTCTTAGCACAGGTAGGCTGGGCCTATTGCATTGTCCACTCTTCAAGCCCAATGGGCTCTCGTGTGAGGGGGCGTGTTGAGATATATAAGTCCCACATGGTTGTATGTGCAACTAATATGGAGTTTATAAGGTCTTGGGCACTCCCACCCTTTGAGCTAGTTTTTGGGGTGGTGACCTCAAGGTTCTAAATTATTAACATATTTAAATTTATTAAATAAATTTGTTCATCAAATATCATTATGTTATTATATGCCTTAATTAGTTTCAAAAATATCAACCAGAAATATGTTTCACGGAACCAACAGTTCGAGATACAAACATTGGAAGAGAATATCCTCACAAAAAAGAAAAAAAATCCTTTGAACATGGTGGGCAAGTAGGCATGGAATTGCCATTTAATCTGTTAGCAAGCTCTACAATATTTTTGTTAATATACCATAATTCTTCAGTTAATCAACAAAATAAAGCCACGTCAGCAGAGACTCAAAACTGAATTAGTTAGTTAGTTATAGTCGTTTTTCTTTTTCCTCCAATGTATATATGTATCTGTAATGACTTTGTATTAGATAAGTTTTCCATAATGAAATTTTCCTTTTTCAAGAATTGTAAGATGGTATCAAAGCTCGATTAAGAGCTCTGGTCCATTCACCTTCCGCCATTAAAGTTTCTCATTGATTTTCTTTCTTACTTCTTGAAATCATGGCTGAACAGAATCAAAATCAGCTTTCAGATCCGTATTTTCTTCATCCAAGTGAGTCTCTTGCTCTAATTCTTGTATCGCCATTGATGAACGGGAAAAACTACCATGCATGGTCTCGTGTCATGACTGTTGCATTGACCTCCAAGAATAAGATGTCATTTGTGAATGGCAGTATTATGGCTCCTGCGCAAGATCATCCAACATACTCTGCTTGGGAAAGATGTAATATGATGGTTTCAGCGTGGCTTCATAGATCTATAGAAGATTCAATTGTGCAATCCATTCTATGGATTGATAAAGCGTATGAAATCTGGAATGATTTGCGTGAACGTTTCTCTCAA